CCCTCCGCCTCCTCCCTCCCTTCCCGCGTCCCTCTCTTGCCCCTTCTCCCCTCCCTTCTTTCCCTACCCCTTCTCCCCTCCCCGCCCCCTCTTCTCTTCCTTCTTCCTGCTCTTCCCTCCCCTCCCCCTCTTCGCCTCCCCTCTCTTCCCTCCACTACCCCTGTTTCCTTCCCCTCCCCCTCTACCTTTCCCCTCTTCCCTCCTCATCCTCCTCCTTGCCCTCTCAGCCCACCGGGTCTCTGCCCCTCTGCACCTCCAGCCAGCGTCCAGCGCTGACCTAAATGTGCTAGATCTTTCGCGTTGAAGGGAACCAAGAGGTGCAGGGAAGAGGGAGGGGCACAGATGGGGATGAAAAAAGAATTAAGATGCGTTCTGTACATGTACCAACTCCCCAGGATGGATGTAAGCTTTGTGTACTGCAAACATGTACTAACGGAAATGAAAATTGTAAAAACTCCAAATCATATGGAAACTGATGCTTCCTTTTTTTTCAAAGGATAGTGTTTGAAAGTGGAAAATAGCAAAATTTAAAGTAAATACGCCTCAATTTATAACATGATTTTCGTACAAAATTTAAAGTAAATACCCCTCAATTTATAACATGATTTGGCTATTGGATGAGTACAAACCTTTTGTTGTTGATGTTGTTGCCGTACTGGGAATCAAACCCAGGGCCTTCGCACTGAGCTACATCTTCAGACCCCAGCCTCCTCTTTAAATTTAACACTCATCTTGGATGGTGGTACAGGAACATAATCAGGCTTTTTTGGGGGTGGCCTTCCGGTACCGGGAATCGAACTCACGACCGTGCGCTTGCCAAACAGGCGCTCTGCCGCTGAGCTAAACCCCCAGCCCCCCTTGTTTCCTTTTTTTTCTTTTAATCCCCTTCCCTCTCCCCTCCCTCCCTCTTTCCTCCTCTAATTTCCCTTTTCATTCTTGTTGATATTATGAATCTGAGTTCATGTTTGTGGCATACAGTGTCCACATTCATTGAGGTTACTAGGACCCTGTACATAGCATCATCACTCTACCTATTTCCCCAGCCCCTTCCCCTTGCCACTTGCCCTTGGGCCCCTGGGCCGCTTCCCATCTTCCAGATGTCCATCCCCTTGTGTCCTTCTGTCCTTCCTCTATTTTGCTCCTAGTTTGTACTTTGCCTTACTCAGCTGAGAGATACCATATGGTATTCAAGCTTGTGTGTCTGATTTATTTTACTCAACATTGTATTTTCAGGGTGCATCCATTTTCCTACAAATGTCTCAAATTTGTTCATCTTTATAGCCAAGTAGTACTTGATTATATGTCAATACCACATTTTCTTTATCCAATAGTCTAGTGATGGGTATATAGGCTGCTTCCAGGATTTAACTATTATGAATTGTGCTGCTATAAACACTGGTGTGCATGTGTTGCTGCAGTATGATGTCTTAAACTCTTTGGGGAAGATACCTAGAAGGGAGATAGCTGAGCCATGTGGAATTTCTAATTTGAGTACTTTAAGAAATCATCCTGATTTCCATAACGATTGTGCTAATTTACATTCCCGCCAACAATATAAGAGGGTTCCTTTTTCAGCCACACTGGCATTTGTTATTTTTGATTTCCTGATTATTGCCATTCCTTCTGGAGGGAGATGGACTCTTAGTGTTGTTTTAATTTGCATCTCTCTAGTGGCCAGAATTATTGAACTTTTTTTTTCCATATATTTGTAAGCCATTTGTACTTCTTCCTCTGTGAAGTGTCTGTTCATTTCTCTTGTCCATTTATTGAGTGGGTCTTTGATTAAGTGGTCTAGTTTTTTTGAGTTCTATATAGATTCTTGATATTAGTCCTCTGTCTGAGGAGTAGCTGGCAAAAATGTTTGTCCACTCTGTAGGTTGACTCCATGCTACTAACTGACTCTTTTGCTGTACAGAAGCTTTTTAGCATGATATAATCCCATTTGTTGATTCATGCTGTTATTTCTTGTGCAATTGCTGTTCTGTTTAGAAAATCCTTTTCTCCTCTTTTATCTTCCAGTAGATTTAACATTTTTGTTTTAATGTTTTGATCTTTGACCCATTTTTATTTTAATTTTGTACACAGTAAGAGATATGGGTCCAGCTTTGCTACTGTGAGGTATGCTCTTCATATTTGATTAGGATTGCATTGAATCTTCTGTGATCAGTTATCCAGTTTTCCCAGCACCACTTGTTGCTATCTTCCCTCCAGCATATGCCTGTGGCCCCTTTGCCAAAGATCAAAGAGCTGAATGTGTCTGGGGAAGTTTCTGTATTCTCAGTTCTGTTCCACTGAGCGATGCATCTGTTTTTGTTCCAGTACCATGCTGTTTTCATCACTATTGCTTTGTAGTATAGCTTGAAACCAGGTATTGCTATGCTTCCTGCTTTGTTCTTGTTGCCTAAAATTGCTTTTGCTATTCTGGGTCTCTTCTGATTTTGCACGAATTTTAGGATTGTTTTTTCTCGATCTGTAAAGTATACTGTTGGTATTTTGATTGAGACTGCATTGAATCTGGATAAGAGTTTTGGGAGTGCAATGGCTGATACACTGTGTCAACTCAAGAAGTCTAGAAGCTTGACTAAGTAACTCAGCAAGGGCTGGGGATTTAGCTCTGCAGCATGGCGCCTGCCTGGCAAGCGTGAGGTCATGAGTTTGGTTCCCAGTACCGGAAAAACAAAAAACAAAAAAACCAGCTAAGTAACTCAGCCGTTCTACATCCTAGTGTGTCGAGGTTATGCCCTTACTGTTCTAGGATGATGTTCATTGTGTCAACTTGAAAAGTTTAATTAAGTGACTTAGCTGGGGGCCAAGGTCCTCACTTTGTAAACATCCTGAGCCTGTGCAAGAAGAGGGCAGGAAGATGGTGTGAGTGCTACATCCACCTGAGGGCCAGTAGCCTGCAAACAACGTAGGGGAGGGAAAGAGGCTTGCTCTTTTCCCGATTTGCTCTTGCTGCTTCTGTCCTTCTGCCACCTTGAACCGTTGCCCCTCACTATGGCAACCTGCCTTGGAGCAAGCTGATTATGGACTGAAACTTCCACAAACTATGAGCTAAATAAACATTTCCTTCCTTAATTTTAGGGGTAACTAGGACAAGGAATATGGCTGTTTTGATAATATTGATTCTGCCTATCCAGGAACAGGGAACATCTTTCCATTTTCTGGTGTCCTCTTCAGTCTCCTCTTTCAGGGTACTGTAGTTTTCTTTGTAGAGGTCTTTCACTTCCTTGGCTAGGTTAAGTCCTACATATTTCATTTTTCTTGAAACTACTATGAATGGCACTATTTTAATAATTTCTGTCTTATCCTGTTCATTGTCGATGTACCCAAATGCTAATGATTGTTGTGTGATGATTTTATATTCTGCTACATTGCTGAATTTTTTTCATTAATTCTAATAGCTTCTTGGCGGATTTCTTTGGGTCTCCTATGTAGAGGATCATGTAATCTGCAAATAATGATAATTTGAGTGCTTCCTCTCCTACAAAAAAAGGATACCTTTTTACTTCTTTCTCATGCCTAATTACTTTTGCTAGTGTTTAAAGTACTATCCTGAATACAAGTGGTGATAGTGGACATTCTTGTTCCTGATTTAGCGGAAATACTTTTAGTTCTTCCCCATTTATTATGATGGTGGCTATTGGTTTGTCATATATGACTTTTATAATATTCAGAAATGGTCCTTCTGGGCTGGGGATATACCTCAGCAGCACAAGTGCCTGCCTGGCAAGCACAAGGTCCTAAGTTTGATTCCTGGTACAAAAACAAAAACAAAAACAGAAATGGTCCTTCTATATTTGTTTTCTTCAGGGTTTTTATTATGAAGGAGTGTTGGATTTTATCAAAGCCTTTTCTACATGTATTGATTATATTGTTTTTCACCTTGCATCTGTTTATGTGATGTATTACTTTTTTTTTTTTTTTTTTTTTTTTTTGAGACAGGGTCTCACTATGCAGTTCAGGCTGGTCTTGAACTCACAATGATCCTGCTGCCTCAGTCTTTTGAGTGCTGGGATTACAGGCGTGCTCCACCACACCTGGCTGTATTACATTTAGTGACTCATGTATGTTAAACCATCTTTGCACCTCCGGGATGAAATCTATTTGATCATGATGTATGACCTTTTTGATACTGCACTGTATTCTATTTGCTAATTATCTTGTTGAGGATTTTTTTTTTCTGTGTTCATTAAGGAGGTTGGCCTATAGTTTTCTTTTAGTTGGCACTTTATCTGGTTTTGAGATCAGAGTGATACTGGCTTCCATAAATGAGTTTGGGAGCATTTCACCCCTTTCAATTTTTTTGAAAAGCTGGCAGAGTATTAGTGATAGAAAATCTTTAAAGGTTTTATAGAATTCAGGTATGAATCATCAGGTCCTGGGCTTTTTGTTAGTTGGTAGGTTCTTTATTATTGTGTCAATTTCATTGCTTATTATTGGATTGTTAAACATTTATATCTTCTTTGGTTAGTTTTGGTAGTTTGTATGTGTCTAGGAATCCATCTGTCTCTTCAAGATTTACTTAATTGTTGGAATGTAATTTTTCAAAGTAGTTACTGTGTATCTTCTGGATTTCCACAGTGTCTGTTATGATTTCACCTTTGTCATTTTTAATTGGATCTGTATGAGTCTTGGTATGTCTGGATAGGGGATTATCTATTTTATTTATTCCTTCAAAGAACCAGTTCTTCAATTTTGATTTTTTAAGCATGTTTTTAGTCTCAGCTTCATTGATTTCTCTCATATTTATAATTTCCTTCTTTAATTTTGATTT